TTCGGTGCAGCAACTCCCTAGCAATATCCAAACAGCCATTGTAACAGGCTCTGAAATATTAAATATTAAATGTTAAAATGTCTATAGTATCTGAAATCCACTTCTATGCCACTAATGCACTTGATGTCTACTTGCAAATAGAATAAGCCAATTCGTAGTTTGAGCTGCGCATCCCTGTATGTCAATTGACATAAACAAACAACGCACAATATAGGTTTATGTTGATTGACCTAGATTGGCCTGGATACAGGCATGAGCAGTTTTACAACACGAATTGTCTTCTTCAATAGGTATTGTCCATCAAATGGTTAAGGCTTTCATAGATCCGGTACAGCACACAGGAAAAGAACGCTGTCCTCCATCATTATCATCATCATTTTTTTCATCTTCTTTATCATCATCATTATCTTTATCATTATGCTTATAAGTTCAATATTGTAATTGTCATCTTAAAAATAATATATCCCTTACGTTTGAAGGGGCGTGTCACCATAGACTGTCTGCACAAGTGGGTTAGCCTTTGAGTTGAGCAATACTATGACTAAATCTACATGTCCAGTAAAACAACTATAGTGCAGTGAACTTTGATTCTCAGTGTCTACAGCATCAACTGTAAATAAAATTATTTTTGTAAATGTCCCAATAAGCGCATCTGTCGAATAAGTGCTGATTTTTTAAGGTACTTATTTGTAATGTACTTAATTAAATGACTGAGTGACATTTGCTAGTAAAATGGTACAATTTTAAGTATATGGTATATATTGCCCAGAATTTAAATTTATTGACAATCTTTATGGCTATTTTTCTACAATGGTGGAGAAATAAAATGGTAATGCATTTAAGAGCACTGATATGGAGGTTGAAAAGTGAAGGTGGTAGCAGGGGGTAGTACAGAAAGTAACATGATTTTTTAAATACTTTGGTGTAATTGTTTTACCTAGGAAGTTTTCAGCAGGGCAGGGTATCTGGGGAATGCTATGCTGTACAGAACAGATTGTTTCTGGGGGAATTCGTCTCCAAATTAAATACCTTGAGCCTTGCTTGACCTATGACCTTGGATCAGAAGTTGAGCTATGGCCTTGTATCCTTTGTAGCATGCCCAGTGTAATGGATGGTCACCAATTGCACCTCTTACATTCACATCAACCCCATGATGAATTAA